CCTCTCCCACTCCTCACTCCTCCCCACCCCCCCCATCTCCCTTCCTATCACTCTGACCCTACACTAACATGTCATCTCCATCTCTCTCACTCTTCACGGTCGTTCATGTTTCCTGGCAGTGGATGTGTCCCCCTGTATTCCGATCATCTTGTCTACTCTTCTATACTCAATAAAATAGTACCGTCTAATCGATTACGTCTTGCTGGGAATTTTGCTCAACTTAGGTTCTTAGTGAGGAGGGAGGGACACACGCGCACATCAAACCCTCAGAATTGAGTCTGTCGGTGGAGCAGCCGGTAACCACGGTGATGATCAATGAAGTCAAGATTTGTTTACTGTCATTTCACAACTTAATCGAAGTGTTGTGTGAGTATCGACGAGGAACCGAGCCAATGAGCCGGATCAATAGTGCTGTCATTGTATTGATCAGATCTAAAGAAAACCTCCACCTTCCTCTTAGTCACCTGCCGCCAGCAACAACGGCAGAGATGAAATACGATACTTTTATTATGCTTTATTCTCGCCGGTTTAAACACAATAACGTATTTTAAGGTGACGACAGATGTTAAAGCTTTAAAAGAAGCTTTAGTATCTAGTAAGTATATTTTTTTAAGTCTCATTTGTTGCAGCGCTGCAGCTGACGCTTTAGTACCGGATCTTATTTAATGGTTTTAAGGACTAGAGCAGCGATTCAGGAAGCAGGAAGTGTCCACCAGGGGGGCGCGAAGGTACTGCAGGTGGGCCACGAGAGGTCATTAACAATAAATAGTTTTTTAATTTTCAATTTTGAAAAGCCGAAGATTTAAGGCGTGGCTGGCGAGGGGGGCGGCGGGAGCGGACGCACCTCGCGGCATCGATCGGACCCTGAACGCACCGTCTCCACCTTACTGTCAGAAAGCACCACAGCGAGCGCGTGGAAAACCCCTTCGAGCGCGAGCAGAGATTCTCCTCGCGAGCAACGAAGTTCACGTTTCGCAAGCGAGCAAATACCTCACGGAGACGGACTTTTGCTCGCGGATGTTCTGATTTTGGTTAAATTCTAACGTCATTTAATCATTATGTTTTGATCAGAGTTGTGAGTAAAGGTTTGGGTGGGTCAGATTTCAAAGTGGGCCGCGGCGTTCTTGAGTTTGGGAACCGCTGGTCCAGAGGAAGGTTTTACTTCGGCCTTTAGCTGGAACTCTCCGTGTCAGTTAAGAGAAATGAAGTGAAACCAGAGCAGCTCTTCTCACTGAGCCCCTCACGTGAGCTTCCCGTCTCCGTCCTCAGCCCCCGGCTTCGACGGGGATCAGGCCCTGGGGGTCCAGCTGCTGCGGCTCGGGCCCAGGAAGAGGCAGCTCATCCGCGGGGAAGCGCTGCCGCTGTCCCACCGGTCCCACCTGACGTGGCTCGGGTTCACCGCCGAGGGTCAGCGTGTGTTTTCATTCCTCTGGAGACGCGGTGAGTTTTTATTCAAGTAGCTCAAATCCACAAGAGGTTTGTCGGTTTCCAGGCACTCCGTGCTACGCGGACTCGGAGGGGGCGGTCCGGATGCTCAACCGTTCCCTTGGCAACACCTGGACACCCGTGTGTAACACCGGGGAAACGTGCAAAAGCCGGTCGGACCACTACTGGGTGGTGGGGGTCCACGAGAACCCCCAGCAGCTCAGGTGAGTCGGCTCATTACCCCAAATGTCCTTCAAGATGAGACACTTAAGTCTGTTTTTGTTTTATTTACCTGAACGCACCGTACCTGGACCCTCACATGGTGGACTCATAACTTACATGTAAATCTAAAGACAATCTATATTCCATTAAAAGTCGACCTGCAGGACCCGTTTAGTTCTCCTGATGTTCCTCCTGCTCTCAGGTGCATCCCCTGCAAAGGCTCCCGGTACCCCCCCACGCTGCCCAGGCCGGCCGTGGCCATCCTGCCCTTCAAGCTGCCCATGTGTCAGACCTCCACGGAGAAGGGGCTGATGGAGGTAAACCGCTAGCGCCGAGCTAACGTCTGCTAACGTCAGCTCGGATTGGAGCGTAATGCAGTAAACGTGATCTTAGCCTGGACTAAAACAACACGACACCTGGGAGGATTATATTACTATTTTATTACCAGAATTTCAAGCAAATGTTTGAATGACCAATGGCCAGAGTCCCGTCGACCCGCCGCGAGGAGACGTTTCACTGGTTGCTTCCTTGTGAGGAGACTCCCTCAGTGACTCCTGTCTCTCCTCCAGGAGCAGTTCTTGCGTTCCGTCCTTTTCGAGAACCACTTTGGCTTCCTGTCGGCGAGCGGCTACGAGGTGGACGAGGAGGCTCAGACTCGCTCCCAGAAGGAGCAGCAGGAGCTGCTCATGAAGATGTTTGCAGTGAGTCGTTATTATTATTATTTGTCTGATCAGCTTTTGCAATATTTATTGCAAAATATAAACCACGGTATGATGTTAATTTAACTTTAAATGCAGAAATTCATTGGAAGTGTAATGAATAAGGAGGTGGTCTGCGTCTCTCCTGCAGCTCTCCTGTAAGCTGGAGAGGGAGTTCCGCTGTGTGGAGCTGGCGGAGCTCATGACGCACAACGCGGTGACCCTCGCCATCCGCTACGCCTCGCGCTCCCGCCGCATGGGCCTCGCCCAGCGCCTCAGCGAGGTCGCCCTGGAGAAGGCCAACCGGCTCCAGCAGCAGCAGGAGGAGGAGGAGGAGGAATCTGAAGAAGAGCCGGAGCACCCGGCCGCCGCCAGACGGCCTTCTGGGTAATGGCGGCGTGTAGTTTAAAGGCGGGACTCCGTATGTGGCGGATACACATTGGAGGTAGACGACGCGAAAGATGGTGATTCACGAGTTTGTTATTCGGGACAGGTACCAGGTGACGGGAGGACGCCGGAGCAACAGACCTGAGCAGGTGGAGCAGGTACCAGAGCCCGGGGAGGAGGAGGAGGAGGAGGAGCAGGCGGAGGAGATGGAGCAAGACGAGGAACCAGAAACCAGAAAACGTCAGTTCCACCGCGGCCTCGTGTGTGTGTGTGTGTGTGTGTGTGTGTGTGTGTGTGTGGTCAATGACGTCATTATGGGCCGTGTCTCATTCTGCAGGTGTGAATCCGTTTGCCAAAGAAGCTGCTTCACCTGCGGTTTCACCTTCTCTGACACCAAGTGAGTAGCCGCCGCCGCCGGCAGGTTCAGGAAGTGTGTGAGATGTCTTTGATTCCACAGGCACAATTACACATTCCATTTGTATAGAAATATTACTGGGTGTAAAGTCCTTAAACGGGGAGGAGTAGCGTGTCAGAGGTCTGATGCAGCTCAACAGGCGGTGTTTGGGGTTAATACTTGATATTCCCGTCATGTGATCAGAACATATTCATTTGGCGTCTCTGTCCTTTGCAGTTGGTAAAGCCGGACGTGCGAATCCCTTCAAGGTGAGCGCAGCGCCGCCGTGTTTGATTGCGATGGTTTAATGTGCAGAATCGTGAGTGAAGCTTTGTGCCTCCGCAGGTCTCCTCCTCCGCCTCCTTCTCCCCCTCGGCGGCGGCGCCGCCTCGCGGGACCAACATCCTGGACAACATGGCGTCCGGCAGGAAGGCGTCGCCGCTCGCCGGCTCTGCGGGGAAAGCAAACAAAGGCCCCGTCCTCAAACCGCTGCCCCCCCGACCCAGAAGCAAGGTATCGGGATCTCTTTACGACGCACGCCCCGTTTCCCTCAAGTTCACCGCAACGTGTCGGAGCCGCTGGTTTACGTCACATGACTGTTGGTCTCAGATGAATTCTTCATGGCGTCATCGTTTCTAGTGAATGTTTCTAACTCATTTAGGTGTAGAATTGTTTTTGTGGTGACCTGAGATTTGAGTTGTAAGACGTCTGAACACTCTCATCCTTCCTTTGTTTCCTCGTCTCCAGACTCAGTCCACTCTGCTGCAGATGACGAGCTCCAAGAAGAAGACCCAGGGGATCACGCAGAAGCAACCTGAAGCCCCGCCTCCAGCCCCGCCCCCAGCACCGCCTGCAGACAGCGGCGAAAACGAGAGGTGAGACATGGAGCTGCAGAACCCTTTTTGAAGGGGGGGGGGCGCAGGGGGCCCAGCGGGGGCACTGAATGTTCTTGTGGGTTTTCAGGCCGAAGACGGGCTTCCAGCTGTGGCTGGAGGAGAACAGGAAGAGCATCTGCGCCGACCACCCCGAGCTGGAGGAGACCGAGGTCATCAAGGAGGCCATGGGGCGCTTCAGGACGCTGTCAGCAGAGGAGCGACTGGTGAGAGCCCCCCTACCCCCACCCCCCCCCCCCAGGGCTCCAGAGAGGAGCCTGAAGGGTCTGATGAGACGTCTGCACCTCCTCAAAGTGTTTCAGCTCATACGGCCGACGGAACAGATCAGTCGCTGGGTGAATAAAGGGGGGGGGGGTTGTAATGACGCACCTCCTCCTTTCATCCACACCATCCCTAATAGGCATTGATGTCTGTGCCTGACCCGGCATACATCAAGACCCTCAGCCGAGCCGGAGGACACGTCGAGTGTGTGTGTGTGCGTGTGTGTGTGTGTGTGTGTGTGTGTGTGTGGTGTGCGGCACCTGTTGCTTGGGAACCCTGCAGAGCGCGTTGGGGCCGCGAGGCCACAAAGCATTGATCATATGATAATAGCAGCGAGCCTCGCTGCAGGACAGACGCCTGCGTGACGGCTCTGCTTAAACACTCTGTTTGCACTTATTTTGAAGGGCCGCTCTTACTTTGATGGTTCACTCGCCTCCTTTATTCTGAAGGACCCTTCTTGTTTTGTCGTTTGTTTGATCACGTTGTGTGATCCGGGTTAAGATCCTATCACATGACCCTTTGTCAGAAACCAGGGCCTTTATTACGTGATTCTCGCGGTAGGAGACGACTTCTTCTCTGGTGCTGGCGTAGACAGCTGGGCGATAAGCGTGCTGAGGCGGGTCTGGGGGGTCTGGCCCGACTCGACTCGAGAGCTGCGCATCCATCTGAAGTGTAGGGCGTCATGCTCTTCAACCCGAGGACGTACGTTCCACCCGTCCGTGTCCACGACCATCGTGAGACGCGATAAATGATGAAAGGGAGCACAAACCAACGTGGATGTTCCTTGGAAATGAGACGAAGAGCCAAAGAAATCTTCATTTAACAGGAAGTCAGAGTCCTAAAATACGCCTTACTGGTAATTCTCATTATACGTCGTTATATCTTTTAAATTCACCCCCCATAACTACATCATTCAGTCCAATGCAATAAATTGACAGTTGCTGTGCGAGACGTCACAGCTTTGTGTTGTGTGTGAATATAAATGGGGGTTAATATGGCGCACACACACACACACCAGGCCCGATGATTCATCCCAACTCCATTACGTCCAGGAAAGCGCTTCCTTTTGTCTCTGCTCAGACAGAAAATAAACAAGACCACGCGGAGGGAAAAAGAGGCAGCAGCCTGTCAGTGGTGATTATACATGACAGGGTGCTATTTGTGTGTGTGTTTGTGCGCTCCAGGTGCATTGAAACAGAACAATGTGACTTTGTCCTGTAATTAACGTTTCATACCTTTCTTTTTTTTTTTTGTATCATTTCTTTCAGTCGTGGACGGAAAGAGCAAAAAGCCAAACAGGAGAAGCAGCCGACCTGAAGAAGAGGAAGCGAGGAGGAGGAGGAGGAGGAGATGACGAGCGTGGAGCGGTAGAAGCAGATGAAAATGGTGCCAAGAAGAAGAGATCTTTGGATCCCTCCGCCAAGCTTTCAGCGTTTGCTTTTAACAAAAACTAACTTTTAGATCCTCGACGTGTCCGTGCTGCTGATTCTGTTCTTTGAGGCACTCCGAAGGTTTAAAGAGGCCTTCGGTTAGTGATCAGCTGGACCGTCATCTCTTCCATTCGTGGTGTTTCTTCTGTGTATTTTAAAAGTTGAATAAATGTAGATGTTTGTTGGTTTACTTTACTCAATGATCATTTTTGATTTAAAAGGTAGACGTCACAGTTGTGTTCTTATTGTGTTGTCTTCACTGTGTCCGTCCGGCTCTAAGAGACCATCTGCTCTCCCAGAGGAGGCGGAGCTTCGGTCGGGGGAACTACTTTCAGCGGCGGATGAATATTACGTGTTTCCCAAACTTCTTTTCTGGGGATCCACTTTGTCCCTAAAAAAATAAACAAATTTGTGATTTCATTTAGAAAAGGCTTCAACAGCTGGTTAGTGATTTAAAGAGGTGAAACATTTGGTCCTACATTTCCCATGATGCATCATTTCAACCCCACACTCATTGACTCCTCACAGGGAAGTTAAGTTCGTGAATAATTGTGTAAATGTATTGTTTTTTAATTAGTCTTCTTTATAAAGATGCAACCGGCAAAAACAATATTTTTAAATGAATAACTACAAATAGAATAAGACCTGTATTAAAAGGAATACAAGCGACTAAGAATTCATTTGAATTATTGAAAAGCAAGTCTTTGAGTTATTCTAGTTGTTTCTTGGAGTTTTATTTTTACAGATATGTGGAGCTTAAGTCAATTAAAGATAATGTGTTTTAGTTTAAAAAAGCCCATTTCCTTGACAAACAATTCATATTTTTACATCATCTCGCCTCCGATTTTGGGTTAAAAACTCGTTATGACTCGATCGCACTGAAAAAAAGACTCCTGTGAATGTTTAGAACTAGATGATTGTGTACTTGTACTTGAGCCAGGTTTTTAACGCGGTATTGTAGCCTGTAACCGAGTAGTTCTACTCCTTGATGCTTTAGTGAAAGCCCTGGTGGAAGAGATGTTGGCCCCGCCCCCGTGGAGGCGGCCAGCCAATGGGAGCGCTCCCTGGATTATCCTGCTCTTATAAAGCCTCGAGTGTCCCGACGCGTTCAACTTAAAGAACGCAAGTGCGACGTCACGCGACGCACCGACTCAACAAGTGGCCGCCCGAGAGCCGAAAGTCCACCACAGAAGAAGAAGAAGTGATGGAGCACTCCGAACCGACCGAGCAGGCGGACGGCGGCTCCGCGCTCAACGGACACTTTGACCGGACGGGGAAGCGGCCGGTACCGGGCGGCTCCGGGTGCGCTTCAGCCGCCGCGTCCGCCGGCGCGCCGCAGCCTCCGCGCGCGGAGCCCGGCGCGCCGCGGCCGGTGATGGAGAGCTGGCGGGAGGAGCGCACCAGGAGCGTGGAGGACAACCAGACCAGCCTGCCGTCCCTGGCCGCGGCGTACACCACCATCCTGCGGGGGCTCGGGGAGGACCCGCAGCGGCAGGGGCTCCTGAAGACCCCGTGGAGGGCCGCCACCGCCATGCAGTTCTTCACCAAAGGCTACCAGGAGAAGATCATCGGTGAGTTCTGTGGAGCCACGCAGGCGCTCCGGGGGGGTTCGGGTTGATTGACAGGTGGCAGTTAAACGCTCCTCACGTGTCCTGTCTTTAATACTACTTTGTACAGGTAGTACAGTAGTTTGAAGTACTTCACTGATAAGGGGATACTAAAAAGCTCACAGCTAATATGTACATGCACATGACACAGAACGGCACCACAAAATACATTAATTTACAGGAATTATACATTTTGATTAGCACATTAACGCATCATAATCATGATGTGTTATAACACTAGTTTACACTGATTAAAGTGGAAACATTTCATCGGGTGTGTGGAGATAATAAGATGTTTGATTGATTTAGAGTGAATGAAGTATAACATGTAAGTGGCATAAACATTTGCACACGTATATTTATCCACAGCGCTGTTTGTGGAAAGATTCCCTTTAGTTTTGTTGGATTTGTTGTTGCATCATCAGTGGAAAACATCCACCAACATGGCCGTCAGCTTAGCAAGACAGAACTCTCGAAAAGAGTTGTGTGTCCAATATTACAGATGCACAAACATGTGGGGGGGCGGTTTGCATCGCTGCTGCACAATTAGCAGGAAGAGACGTCCGTTGGAAGGCGTCAAACTCCCGGGAGGCGTCTTTGTGTCTCGCATGGGAATGAAGGCTGGAGTCGGGGTGATGGATCGCTGCTGGATGAAGCACAACCACTTGTGTGTTGGACAAACAAAGAAGTGTCCATGCATACGTTGGACAATGAGACGATAAGACACATATGAAGGAAGGAAGGGACACGATCAGACATAAGACACCTCAGACGTCAGACGACTAAAAAGTATGTTTTTGAAGAAGTTTACTGAAATAATAATTTAATTTTCTCGGCGTCACATTTAATTGACTTAGTTATTGAGACTGAATAATGTCCATTTCTGTATTGAACCTGACGCCCTTCAGCTCTTGCTGAGTCATGTTCCGGTGTGAAGCGGTTTCACATGGGACGCCGTTCGCCCCCCCTGGCCTCCCCCCCCCCCCGCCTGCCCCCATCTGGAGCTGGTTTTGTGGGGGATGTTTTATGCGCTTTATGAAACAAGGAAGGAATGCAGCGAACAGGAGGCGTAGAAGTGAGAGTTGGTCTTCGCGGTAGGTGGGGACGGTGGAGACGGTGATGGTACACATGTGTCCTGCAGGCTCCTGATTGGCTGCTGCAGGAGACACCCCCCCCCCCCCGTTATGTCCCAAGAGCAGAGAACATAAAGACAAACAGATGTGTTCTGCACGTCTGTGGAGAGTTTCAGCGTTTGTTAATGTCACTGTTTGATCAGAGAGTTCACGGGAGTGTGTGTGTGTGTGTGTGTGTGTGTCTGTACGTGTGTGTGCGCTCAGGTCACGGGTCCAGCTTTGAACCAGTCATGTGCAGAAAATCCTCTTGTTGTTCAGCACGTGACCGACGAGGAATGAGCCAAAGAGATGCAGAGATTTTACGGTAAATCTCAGTTTGGGATTTGACACCAAACGGTGTCCATCCATAAGTAACTAGACACAGAATTGGACTTTAATGAAGACGTGGTCCTCGCAGGCTCCCGGTGCGACGCCTCCAGACCTGAGGACTGTGCCTCCATCTGTCTCCTTCTCCTGGTCCCTCCAGGGCAACGGTGTCTCGTCCAGATGTTTGACGAGTTCCGTCTCAAACACTCAGCTGGTGCAGCTAATGAGGCCCTTGACAACATCTCAACATCTGAATTACCAATGCGTGCTCCTATGAGGGATTCTGTTTAATCGTTCTCACCTTGTGCTGAAAGAGGAGAAACACTTTTTACGCTACTTGTGTTATTTCAGTTTATAACAAATATCTGTTAACAAGGTTGAATCATTTTCACTCTGCTTTGTTGTGTACTTAAAGGCGTGAACATCTGGGGATGACAAACATACAGCCAGTGTTAAGAATATGTGTGTGTGTGTGTGTGTGTGTGTGTGTGTGTGTGTGTGTGGCTGCCTTTACTATGAATGAATAACCTTGTTTATATTGAGTGATTCCCTCCATTGTCTCCTGCTTCATTCACAACGTGTCAACATGTGGCCGCTCCTGTGTGTGTGTGCGTGTGTGTGCATGTGCGTGTGCAGTACTATGAAACGTAGAGCCGATGATCAGTGACGCTGTCATTACCTGAGAGACGCCTCGTCTCTGTCACTCGGGGCGTCTGCACCAGCTTCCTTTATCTAGTTACGGTTGACTTAACGCATTATCCTCCAGGGTGTGTGTGTGTGTGTGTGTGTGTGTGTGTGTGTGTGTGTGTGTGTGTGACGCTGTAGTGAGCAGCAGTATCATTTGTTGTTTCCATCACGCTTTGTCTGGAGAGGAAGTCCTGCAGGAAGTGGAGAGGATGAAGGACAGAGGAGGTGGAGAGGATGAAGGACAGAGGAGATGGAGAGGATGAAGGACAGAGGAGATGGAGAGGATGAAGGACAGAGGAGGCGGAGAGGATGAAGGACAGAGTGGGCGGAGAGGATGAAGGACAGAGGAGGCGGAGAGGATGAAGGACAGAGGAGATGGAGAGGATGAAGGACAGAGGAGATGGAGAGGATGAAGGACAGAGTGGGCGGAGAGGATGAAGGACAGAGGAGGCGGAGAGGATGAAGGACAGAGGAGATGGAGAGGATGAAGGACAGAGCGGGTGGAGAGGATGAAGGACAGAGGAGGCGGAGAGGATGAAGGACAGAGGAGATGGAGAGGATGAAGGACAGAGCGGGTGGAGAGGATGAAGGACAGAGCGGATGGAGAGGATGAAGGACAGAGGAGATGGAGAGGATGAAGGACAGAGGAGATGGAGAGGATGAAGGACAGAGGACATGGAGAGGATGAAGGACAGAGTGGGCGGAGAGGATGAAGGACAGAGGAGGCGGAGAGGATGAAGGACAGAGGAGGCGGAGAGGATGAGGCAGAGGAGATGGAGAGGATGAAGGACAGAGTAGGTGGAGAGGATGAAGGACAGAGGAGATGGAGAGGATGAAGGACAGAGGAGGTGGAGAGGATGAAGGACAGAGGCGATGGAGAGGATGAAGGACAGAGGAGATGGAGAGGATGAAGGACAGAGTGGGCGGAGAGGATGAAGGACAGAGGAGATGGAGAGGATGAAGGACAGAGCGGATGGAGAGGATGAAGGACAGAGGAGATGGAGAGGATGAAGGACAGAGCGGATGGAGAGGATGAAGGACAGAGCGGATGGAGAGGATGAAGGACAGAGCGGATGGAGAGGATGAAGGACAGAGGAGATGGAGAGGATGAAGGACAGAGGAGATGGAGAGGATGAAGGACAGAGGAGATGGAGAGGATGAAGGACAGAGTGGGCGGAGAGGATGAAGGACAGAGTGGGCGGAGAGGATGAAGGACAGAGTGGGCGGAGAGGATGAAGGACAGAGTGGGCGGAGAGGATGAAGGACAGAGGAGATGGAGAGGATGAAGGACAGAGGAGATGGAGAGGATGAAGGACAGAGGAGATGGAGAGGATGAAGGACAGAGGAGGTGGAGGGGATGAAGGACAGAGGAGGTGGAGGGGATAAAGGACAGAGTAGATGGAGAGGATGAAGGACAGAGGAGATGGAGAGGATGAAGGACAGAGGAGGTGGAGAGGATGAAGGACAGAGGAGATGGAGAGGATGAAGGACAGAGTGGGCGGAGAGGATGAAGGACAGAGGAGATGGAGAGGATGAAGGACAGAGCGGATGGAGAGGATGAAGGACAGAGGAGATGGAGAGGATGAAGGACAGAGCGGATGGAGAGGATGAAGGACAGAGCGGATGGAGAGGATGAAGGACAGAGGAGATGGAGAGGATGAAGGACAGAGGAGATGGAGAGGATGAAGGACAGAGGAGATGGAGAGGATGAAGTACAGAGGAGATGGAGAGGATGAAGGACAGAGGAGATGAAGAGGATGAAGGACAGAGGAGATGGAGAGGATGAAGGACAGAGGAGATGGAGAGGATGAAGGACAGAGTGGGCGGAGAGGATGAAGGACAGAGGAGATGGAGAGGATGAAGGACAGAGTGGGCGGAGAGGATGAAGGACAGAGTGGGCGGAGAGGATGAAGGACAGAGGAGATGGAGAGGATGAAGGACAGAGGAGATGGAGAGGATGAAGGATAGAGGAGGTGGAGGGGATGAAGGACAGAGGAGGTGGTGCTGGGAAAGTTCTCCATGACGAACGTAACTTCAGGGACGGACTTGAAGGATACGCAGCAGAGGCCGAAGCAACAGGTCGGGTCTCTGCTGTCTCACTGTGTCCCCCCCCCCCGATCCAGGAAATGAGAAGACGGCGGCGTGAGCGCGAGCGCGTCTGCGTCCTCACAAACAGATAAAGCTTTATTGGACTCCGGCAACTGAGAAAGAAAATGCAATAAAGCATCGAGAGCAGAGCTCTAATTAGACCGCCACTGTTTACAGAAGACTGCGATAAAGAGACGGAGGTCCCCCCCCTCCCTCCGTCCGTCCTCCAGGGGACAGGAAGTGATGCGAGCGGCTTTCATATATCAACACACCTTTTTAACCAGTGGAGATAATCGCTTTGGAAAGATGATAAACGAATACAGCAGGAAAACTAAAGGTGAAATAGCTTTTATTAAAAAGAGGATCGTCTGTGTGACGCCTCGATGGGTTCAGATGGATTCACTTTATTACACTTTTATTTTAAAAGTATCATTCTTTCCCTTTTTTTACATCGCTTGTTTATTTGCTATAAACTGCACATCGTTTGTTACGGTTACAACTGCTCGTAATAATTATTAAATACATTTCTTATTTTAATAAATGTAATAGAAAGAAAGGCTCATTTAGGGAATAGCATGCGTGTCCTGATGACGTGTCCCATAGAGGCCGTGTACTGATGACGTGTCCCATAGAGACCGTGTCCTGATGACGTGTCCCATAGAGACCGTGTCCTCTCGCTCCCTCTGCAGACGTGCTGAACGACGCCATCTTCGACGAGGACCACGACGAGATGGTGATCGTCAAAGACATCGACATGTTCTCCATGTGTGAACATCACCTGGTGCCCATCTTCGGCAGGGTGAGAGAGCTAACGTCCCCGTCCCCCGTCCCCGTCCCCCGTCCCCCGGCTTCATTCAGCGCTCGTGTTCCTGATCCCCAGAGGATGATTCTGGATCATTATGGTCGCTCTGAAAGTTCTGCTTTAAGCTAAGCTAAGCTAACTTTAGATGACCCCGCCCCCTTCATAAGTTCACTGACGACTAAACAAAGATGGCCGCTACACATTCATTCATGTAAAACCTATTTGGCTGAAGCCGAGTCGCTTTATTTCCGATATTGTGGAGGAAGCTGCAAATGTTTTAATTCAATACTTAAAGATTTTTGAAAATGTCAAACAAGATGTGAATCTTCCAGAAACATTTTACCCAGAAGGCAACTGGTCCGAGAACACGGGATCAGATTAGCTGAGATCTGGTTATCCTGCATTTGTTGTTTCCTCCTCTTCCTCTCCTCCTCCTCCTCCTCCTCCTCCTCACACCATTAGTCTCCACTAAGAAGCCCGATTGGCCTCCTCACCCCCCCACCCTCCTCCCCCTCCTCCCCCCCCTCCTCCCCTCCACCTTCAGCAGCAGGTGCACGTTGTTAAAGACGTCAACGGGCAGCTGATCTTTTTTCACCATGAATGAGCTCTGATGACAAACACTCCACACCTCCTCTGTGTGTGTGTATGTGTGTGTGTGTGTGTGTGTGTCAGTCAGGTGGCTTTTTATGCCCCGCCCCCCCCCCCCCCCCAGAGTGGCTAATACCATACAACCCAATCCCTTGTATAGTGCTCCGTTTCAGGTTTCCAAACATAAAGACGAACCTTCGGCAAAATTTAATGTCAACGTTTCTTAAACCTTTTTTACTTCCTATTGTCTTGTATCGCCCGGGTTGTCTAGTCAGATTGAATCGGAATACAAAATTAAAACTCCGGGGTTAAAATTAGATAAGGTACGACAAACATGTTGGATAAGAATACCAGCGCCTCAAAAGAAGCATCCAAAATTATTTGGGCCCGATTGAAACATATCTTCTTTCACCTCAAAAACTATTCAAACGCAAATTCAGACCATTTAGTGAGGGTGTGAGCGTTTCGGGGGGCAATTATTGAAATAGCAGACCTGGTGTCAGTACTTAATTCCGCCCCCGCCAATATAAGAGGCGGGTTAAATAACGGAGCAGGGTGGTATAAAGATATAGAAATATATCTTATATTTCTCTCCCCTGACATAAACGTGAATAACGCAGGCAGATAATCCGTCACGGTCCGCCTGTTCCACGCCGATATGTCAGGCAGAGGAAGAGGAAGAAGAGATCTCTGCACGCTTGTTGCCCTTTCTCTCGTCTCGTCAACAAATTGCGTCTGACATTTGAGTGGACTGTGAGTGTGTGTGTGTGTGTGTGTGTGTGTGTGTGTGTGTGTGTGTGTGTGTGTGTGAGAGGGAATTACAGCCTCCAGACATCAATGATTGTCCGTCTCTCCCTCCTCTCGTCTTTTGTTCGTCCACCTGTTCCGCTCTTCGTCTTCTTCTTCTGTTGCTTCACATCAGCGACACGAGGACGTTTGTGATTAAAAAAAAAATCATCACTTAAAGTACATTTGAGTTAAAACTCCCGTTTTCTCAGGGAAATCCCTTGTATTTTAAAGCAAAAGTCTCTGTTAATAATAATGCATTTGAATAAGGAGGCGCTTTTTAAGGTGGAGGAGACCTACGTTTGTGTCCACATGCTGCTCCGCACCTCCCCGAGGTCAGAGGTCAATGCGCTTGTTTCCCCCTGAACCGGTGGAACCGGCGTTGGAGATAGCGGTAGCCAGCACTTAGCCAGCCGTTAGCGCTGTCATGCGGTCACTATGGCAACGGCGCCCATGGAGACGGCCGCCGCGCTGACCTCCGGCTACGTCGCTTTGGATGGGCGTGTCTGCTCCTTCCACTGCAGCAACAGAACAATACATCTTATTAAAAAGTCATCCCCGCCAAAATAAGAGTAATCCATCTGGTTTCCATGAGCTTCCGCGCACCACCCGCCTCGCCTCGGGGACCCCAGCTGGCGTGAAGCGTCTGATCCTGATCTTTCTCCCGTGGGTGCAGGTTCACATCGGCTACCTGCCCAACAAGAGAGTCCTGGGCCTCAGCAAGCTGGCCAGGTGAGTCACGTCCCTCCTCATCGGGAGACAGTGAGAGTGAACCTAAGCTGATTATTAAACAACGTGTGTGTACCAGCGTAGAATCTGATCCCGCTGACCCCAATACCTCCAGGCTTATCGCACTTAACACCCCGTCGCTAACCCGCCAGCGTGCACGCCGCCAACGTGCACGCCGCCACTGCGAGCGCGGAGGTGCGTCGTGGTCGTGAGAGGAAGCAACAGCGGTTTCAGAGGGAAATGCGGTTTTGTTCGCTGTTTTTTTTTGGCTTACACTTTGTTAAGTCCCGCCCCTTTGAACGCAGTCCAGCCAATCATAGCGCAGCATCACTCCAGCTCATCGATGGTTTCACAGTTTAGTGGATTTAGAGCTCGTCATAATGAAACGTGAGACATTAATATTATATTACCGGAAGGAGATTTATCTTTTTAAAACGACACCCGGTTCTTTTGACTTAAAGCTGCATTCTCTCTGCTGACCACCGGGGGGGGGGGGGGGGAGTTTATTCATTTTATTAACCTATAATAAAATTAAGATAATACATTTAATAGTTATGATAGAATGACACACTTGGCACATCTGGGTGGAATGATGAACAGATGTGGACTCCAGCAGAGGTTCCTCACTTGCAGCTTCTGGCCTCCATCAGGTGCGTCCCGTCTCTCCCCGTGCCGCCCGTTTGATCCCTTGACATTTTCTGGGGGGTGGATGAGGTCGAATTTGTCTGAAGTGGTTTTTCTCACAGAGAAGAGCAAGAGGTCAAAGGTGAAGACCGGGACGTTTTTTTCTCCTCTGCAGACCTGCTTGTTTATTCCATTTGAGTTCCTCTCAGAGAAACGATGTTCTCAAAGTTATACATTATTATTCTTATGCTCAATTGTATCTCCACGTTCCCCAAAAATAGATTAAAAATGTGTATTTTAAAGACAATTACTTTTAATTCTGTTCCTTAAAAAATATAAATGATTGACGACGTGTTTTTAATTCATCGTCCGGGTCTCTTCCTGAGTCATTGATTCTCTCTCTCTCTCTCTCTCTCTCTCTCTCTCTCTCTCTCTCTCTCTCTCTCTCTCTCAGGATCGTGGAAATCTACAGCCGGCGACTACAAGGTACCCCTTCAGGTCGGAGGTCAAAGGTCAGTGCCCCGTGTCACCTCTGTCCGACCCGCTTACGTCTGCGTGTCCGTGCGTCCACAGTTCAGGAGCGGTTGACCAAGCAGATCGCCGTGGCGATCACCGAGGCGCTGAAGCCCACCGGAGTGGGCGTGGTCATCGAGGCGACGTACGAGCCTTTCCTTCCCCTCCATTGGTTGGTTATCATTACGTTGACCGCTGGATCACGTCCCTTTCGTCCTTTCTCTCCGCGTGCAGTCACATGTGCATGGTGATGCGCGGCGTGCAGAAGATGAACAGTAAGACGGTCACCAGCACCATGCTGGGGGTCTTCAGGGAGGACCCCAAGACCCGCGACGAGTTCCTGGCGCTCATCAGGAGCTGATGATGTCGGCCTCCTCCTCCTCCTGTTGCCCGCGGTTACCGCCACCTCCACGGACCAGGCGCCAGTGCGGCCGTGTGTGTGTGTGTGTTTGTGTGTATATTCGTGTGTGTGTGTGTGTGTGTGTGTGTGTGTGTGTTTGCTGTGACTCTTCGTCGGTCAGATAAGGAGAAGCGACGCCTTGTTTATTTTTCAGGACTTCACCCTTTTAGCTGTTTGCTCCGTTCTGCGCTCACAGACGGAGGAAAACACACGAAGCCGTTTCTTTGTCTCAACTGTAAATATATATATTTACAGTTTTATTACTGTAAATATATATATTTACAGTTGAGCTGAACGGCTTCAGATTTACTAATATTCTGTTTTTCATCTCAGTGATGTAATACATCTACTGTGATGTAGCTGTGTAGGTAAAACAAATGACCTAATTACAAAGCAGGGGGAGGGGCTTAATATTACGATTCCAGAATTCCCTTTTCACTTATTTCTGATGAACTAAATTATCCAAATAAAAAAATAAATCAAAAGGTATTTGTGAAACCTCAGTTGACCAATCAGATGTACTCAGATCACATTTTTTAACCTGTTGCTCTGTAAAATAAGTAATAATTACTGTCAATGTTACCATTTTCTAAATCTGTATCATTTTTTTAGAGCTATATTATTATTGTGCTACGGATAATAATTAAAATAATAGTAATTATTAGTATTCTTATTTTATTGTGCATGGATCTGCCTGTATGTGCCAACTTAAACCAAAAATAAAATAGAATAAAAACAAAATGTGTGCATGTTAGTGTGTGTGACTTTGTTTTCACTTGTGTAGAATATTTCCTCATTGTGTGTGTGTGTGTGTGTGTGTGTGTGTTTATTCACAAGCAGCCATGCTGTATTTCCACGCGCTAGTAAACGACACATTTATAATAATAATCATTATTATTAGAACATTTGAGTTGATCGTGTCGCCCCCCTGTGGAAGAAAGTGGTAGTGTCTTAGATCCCAAGTGGGCCAGACCATTGCACTCATATGGGGGGAGAAGATGGTCTGTCCGACCGGGACATGAACCCTCCTAACCAGCTGTCCTTGACCCCATGACCTTTTCCACAGAGGAGCAGCGGTTAGGAATAGACGGTAGTGGCTCATTTTCTGGACTATTCAAATCCAGCCCGATGGTTCTACTCGCCAGTTCAATGACATCATCTCGCTTCGAGCGTGTCACATGTCACGTACTTCTGCTGCTTCCCTACAACTTTCTCTGCCACACGTCAGAAAGATAGCTGATAATAACTGAATGTACGTTTACAAATCACATCTCCACATCTCGGCGCTTCGGTCTCACACATTCTGCATTTCCCCGATGATTCTGCGTCAACGTTTCACAACTTTCCTCTCATATCAGATTATGTGAGCTGTCTCATTACACACAACAAACTACACACAGACACACACAACGCATCACAAACAAGACCCCTCATGGTTTCCGTCACTAACTAGTTAAACAGTCAATGTGAACTCGTCAGGCCTCTCATTCCCACTAAGGAACCCGCAGGAAGTGGACCTGACCTCCCTGACTGTTGCAGGGATGCACAGCCAACCGCTCCGCTGTGTAGACTATTGGATGTCCTCCTATTGATACCGACCCCTTTATCTGGTATTGCCACCTCGCGCCCCGTCACTCCTGTCTCAGGTTCTGTTTGAATGCACCGTACTCTGATGTATGAATGTCAACTGGGAACGAAAGACCATTACCAGAAATGTAACTGTCGCCTCCCTTTCTAGTTCTTTCCCGTACATCCATAGCTTGGCGCCTTCCTTCATACTCGTTCTGGTGAAAAAGAACGAGAACCTGAGTCACACCCCCACGCCACCACCCCGTCGACTCCCTCTCGGCCTTCCTGACCGCACGTTACATGTTTCTTCCTTTTCCTCCATAGCAGCCAGCAAACAGAGACCTCCCTATATCTGCTGGTGCTATTGTGAGTATCTCATGAATCATTGTAAAGATGAGTGGACTAATCACACCACCCTGAGGCGTTCCACTCTCAACGTCTGACTCAATCCGAAATAAGTGCAAAGGTCCACTTCTACATTTTTCCACCAATTCCCAGTTTATGCAGCTTAATTAAAAAAGCTTTGCTTCCACATCGTATCGTACGCTTTTTCTATGTCAAAACACTGCTATGACTCACTAGCTGTGCCTCAGAGACACTAGTCTGCGTCCTTGTAGCACTGCAGCCTTCGTAGACCTGGTCTGGTCCTCCAACGGCCGCATAGGCTGGACCGAGCGGCCTCTGAGACGGGACGTCTGTCCTGCGGGGCGACTTCCTGCCTGCGTCATCAGCTTCACCTCCCGGCAATAAAAGCCTTAAAGGCCCCCAAAGCCTTTAAAGTACAGATAAGGAAGATAAACTTATTTCATTAAACGAATATGCTTCTCTTCCGGAGCATGATATAGTTCAGGCTGAGAGAAGAACATTTTCTGGTTTAACATTTGCATAGTTTATGCTTCTGCGTCTTCAGAGAGACGCAAGGGACACGCAGACGCAAGAGACCCTTGCGTGTCCCCTTGCGTGTCCCTTGCGTGCCCCGCTGTTGTGCCCCTTGCGTGTCCCTTGCGTGTCCCTTGCGTGTCTTCTCACACCTCCTTGCGTGCCCCGTGCGTGCCCCTTGCGTGTCCCTTGCGTGTCCCTTGCGTGTCTTCTCACACCTCCTTGCGTGCGTCGATCCATTTTTTTTACACTGGCATCAAAAGCGACGCAGCCTGCTGCAGCGCACAAGGCTGCGATTGGTCTGTTCATCCGATAGGAACATCTCTGGTCGTCATGGAAACGCTCCTCTAATCTTTAAGTGGTCAGCGGCTTCGTGTGAAACGAGATATGATCAGTTTCACTGAGCTGCAGTTCAGATTGTGAAACACAAAAGTCCTTCTCTTCATTAGTAAAGTAACACAAGTGAAGAACGACAGCCATGTTGCCTCAGTGGGGAAACACCAGCTAACACATGTTCCCCGTTCCACCTCATGTTCTAGTCCTTTGGTCACGTGATGACACACACTAACAACACCGGTGACATGCAATGTCAAACTGGAACCTTTGATTTGACCTTTTTGAGGAAAGACGGAGGAGAAGCGATGAAGCTCTTCCGTACCACGGCACCCATCGCGTTACACGGTGTGTGATGGTAGGGGGGCACTGATCACCACTGCTGCTCCGAAGCCTCCTGTCCTAATGGAACTTGCTTCAATAAACCAGATGAAGCCTTCGTGTCCTGGAAGAGTCAAAGTGGTTCACACAAAACCAGTAGAAACATCCAAACATAAAGCAGGGAGATTTAGTGGTGGTAGATAGTTTAGGTTTTATATTTAATTCAATTCATGTTAAATGAAGAAGAACCATTTTAGCTGTTACTGTGTTTTGCTGTTGAAACGCACATTAAGGGTTTAAAGTGTTGCATAAATAAAAGTGAGCAATATTCATTATTGAACTTTGCAATTAATTGAAAAGAAATCCTCCAGGGCCTCCAGGGCCTCTCCTCTCCATCCCTGCAGCTAGTGAGGCCGTGGTCCACCTCCACCTCTCACATGGACCTCAACTCAATGTGGTCAGTGAAGCTCTGTAAGTCCTGCATGTAACTGGTTTAGTTTAGTTCTTCTGAGGCGCGGTGACGCCGACTAGTGTGTTCTGTGTTGTCTAACATGAGCCCAGCACAGACCCCCGCTGTCACTTCAGGACCTGTTCCAGTCCCTCTGTACTGTAGCGTGGTGAATGAAGACCCCCGCTGTCCTGCTCTTCAGTCTATGGAGACCTTACATCAGGACACCACTGCATTGGGTTTAAACTCAACTCCTGGCAGCTCATCTGAATATGTTTTACCCTTAAAGTTTCTCTCTGACTCATTTTCTTTCTGCTTTTCATTTCCCTGCAGCAGAAGCTATCGGCGTATTTTATTATTTCCTATGGAATACATTTCTTTTTGGGGGTTTGAGTCTAATCTGAACTCAACATCTCCAACCTTCAGCATAATATTTCACCAGTCAAAGGAACAGACTTTCACTATATAATGAAGTCTCTTTGAGAGACACTAGTTAGTAAGTAGCTGTAACTGATCGTTTAAGAGGACGCTGACTGAAATAATCAGTCTGACTCAAACACAGTTAAGAGACGTGAAAAAGATCTAAAAACAAAGACCAGTATCAGTAAAGCTCCTCCTCTTCTGGTACGAGGAAATACACTGGGGACATGAGACAAGAGCGTCAGAGACGCAGAGAGACGGACGCAGAGCGACAGACGTCTACCTGGTCGTCATGGAGCACCTGTTGATGCTGCTGCTGTTGCTATGGAGCTCAGGTAGGACTCGATGAGCTTCATTCAGGTATTTCTGATGGACGTTTAAGTGAGACAAACGGACACGTGTGTGGGTGAGTGGGGAGAAGTTGGCGGTTCAATTCCAGGCCCGGCTAACCTGCATGTTGATGTGTCCTTGGGCAAGACATTTAACCCAAGTGTCTCGTGTAGCGGTGAGTCGGTGTGTGAATGTTAGTGATGGCAGGTGACACTGTGTGTGTAGCTCCTGTCATCAGTGTGTGAATGATCTCATAGAAATGTGCTGTACAGGTACAGTCCATTTACCATTACACGTGTGCATAATTATGGACTGTATGACCTCTACCAGCTTAGTTATTAAGATGACCTGGGTGACGCTCCGTTGATGAGTCTTCTCCATGTTGCTGTTGGTTTTGCATCGTTGTGTGTGAGACATTAGATAGGGTCCACTGGCAGGGTGTAAAGTCTCTAAAGACTCTTATTTCAGTGTAACATGCAACAGTTTGTGGTAGATTTGAACATCCGGTTTAGTTGTCAAAAACCCTTCTGGGGTGAAAGACCTGAAAAACACAGTGAATCCACAACCTAAATACCCGAGCTAATCAGTGCTTAGTAGACCGCCATCCAGTGGACACGAAGGGGAACACAGTTCCGACCTTACACCCATATTGGGTTCTTACAATAATGAATATTGAATATTTCTCTGTAAAATCTTACATCTGGTCAGCTCCCTGTTTAAAATGCTTGAACATGTTTCTATTTAATTGCTTGACTATTTAAGTTAAGAGTTCTATACAGCAGCGGCCTCTTGGTCCGGATCCAGACTGAGACCTAAAGCTAAAAATGTGAGGGGCCGTTTAGGACTTAACTATTGAGACACTCTCGCGCACACTAATGAAACACTCTTACGTTCACTATTGACATGCTCTCACACACGACTGAGACACTTACACATACATGTATACTCTGTAAACCTGTGCACGCGCATATATAAAACATTATACATACTCATCTGAAACACTTACATGTACATGAGAAACACACGCGCATGCATATATGCTGCTGTGTCACATACACACACACACATATGAAAGGGTTACATGCATACAAGTTAACAAAGGTTTATTATCAATAAGTCAACCGGGGAGGGGAAAAGGGAGAGGAAAAACGATAACTCAAAAGCTGTTCACTGGGGCGGCCAGGGACCATCAGGACGCTTCGCCAGATTCCTCCTGGTGCAGAAGAGAGAATGTATTTCGTTAGAACCGTCTTGTTTGAGGAACATCATCCTCCTCGGGTTCCTGCTGTCTCGCTCGCTTTCTCCTCTGTGTCTCCTAGGAGAAAGGCTTAAAACAGGCTCCTGATTGCCCTGCGTGATTACCGACACCTGGGAGGAGAACTCAGTGACACCTGGGTTAGTACCGCCCTTCCACCCCCATGCCTCTTGGTGGCCCTCTCCTGGCTGTTTCTCGCCACGTGGGGGCACTGCTCACCGGCTGGGCCATCAAATACCCCCCCCCCCCAGCTCCGAACCACGGTGGGGAGCGGCAGTCCACAGGCAGTCGTCCTTTCTCGACAAGGCATCCGCGTTCCCGTGCAGTCTGCCAGCTCTGTGCTCCACTGTGAACTTCAAGTCCTGCAGATGTAGAAACCAACGGGTTATTCGGGCGTTCTTATCTTTGTTGACGGCCATCCATTTCAATGGGGCATGGTCCGTAACCAATATGAACTCTCAACCCAACTAGTACCTCAGTTTTTCCGATTGCCCATTTGACGGCGAGACACTCTTTTCCACGGTTGAGGAATTCTTTTCATGGGGAAGTAGTTTGCGGCTGACAAAGGTTATGGGGTATTCGCTTCCATTATGTACCTGGGACAAGACTGAGCTTTCTTCAAGGCATTGAAGGCCAGCTGTGTCCGTTCAGTCCACTTTACCCCGTTGGATGCGCCTTTGCTTGTCAGCTCATGCACGGGGGCCGCCTAAAGAAGCACAATTAGGAATGAACTGTCTGTAATATCCCACTAGCCCGAGAAAAGTTCTCACCTGACGTTTGGTCTGGGGTTGGGGCCAGGTTGCTATGGCATCCACCTTCTTTACTTGGGGTTTCACATTTCCTCGTCCGATGGTGTACCCAAAGTCATTCGCCTCCTCCAAGACGAGCTGTCAGCCCCGCCTCTTGTAAGCCCTGAAGAACGGCGGCCAGGTGCTGCAGAATCTTTTCCCATGAGGTGCTATAGACAATAATATCGTCCAGGTATGCCGCCGCATAGCCTTGGTGTGGTCGGAGTACTTTGTACAAAAGCCTCTGGAACGTTGCCGGGGCCCCATGAAGACCAAATGGGCGGACTCGATAGTGGAAGGCGCCGTCTGGCGTTGAGAAGGCAGTCTTCTCCTTGGCTTGGGGGATGAGCGGTACCTGCCAAAACCCTTTGGATAAGTCCAGTGTGGAAATGAACCGGGCCGGCCCTAGCCTCTCGACTAGCTCATCTACCCGGGGCATAGGGTAGGTGTCAAACAGGGAAATCGCATTTAGCTTTCTATAGTCGTTGCAGAACCTAATGCTCCCATTCGGCTTTCCTACAAGGACTATAGGACTGGACCAGGCGCTGTGGGACTCCTGCATGTGGGGCCAGACCTGGGTCATCCGGTGGTGCATCTGTTCCACGTGCTCTATGATGCTGCGCTGGGTGGATGGTTGCTGCTCCCAGGCCTCCTTGGCCACATCTAGCAACCCGCAGGGTCTCCGACCGTACAGGAGCTGAGAATCGAATAGAGCCCTCGGGAACTTCTAAGATAGAGAACACAATGCAAGGCAGCAGTTGGTCCCAGTTCTTCTACGCAGCATGTGCTTTAAGAGTTTTTGTTGAATCTTTCTACCAGTCCATCGGTCTGAGGGTGATAGACCGAGGTTCTGATTTGTCTCACCTTCAGACTTTGGCATAGGCATCTCATTAAATTCAAAATTAAAATTCAGTTTATTTAATTTAATTTAATAATTTAATATTTCTTTTATTATATTGTATATAATGTGTATCTTTTTATTCTATTTTCTTCCCTGTACATGCTGCTGTGATACCAAAATTTCCCTCTTGAGGGATCAATAAAGTATCAGTCTATCTATCTATTACTTGGGACATAAAGGTGTGCCCTTCTCAACGTCTGACTCAATCCGAACTAAGTGGAAAAGTCCAGTTTTACATTTTTCCACCAATTCCCATGTGAAAGGGTTACTGTGAGGGGTCAGGACTTCGACTCAGGTGCAGAGCAATAAGGCAACGACAAACTTCATTCCAGGTTTGGAACCTTTTACTTGCAGAATAAAGTAATGCGAAACAAAAGGCAGCACAGGCGGACTTCACACGCTCTTGTAGAAACAAAAAAAAGGAAAAGGGCCTGGCAATGAAGTAAAAAACAAGATAACCACAAACCAACACTGGGAATACCTGACTACAAAACATGCAACTCGGGGAGGGACGAAAGATAACCTAACACAGACAACACGGGAACTGAGGCTTAAATACAGGTGGAGGTAAAAAAGGTTGTATATAGATTGTTGCACACTTATACATTCATAGCTGAATATCTTGCATATGATTACAAAGAGTGCCTGTAAGAGCACCTCCCTAGTGGATGTGAGAGCATTACATAAGGATACAAACTCAGAAGAGCCAGAAACAAAGTGCAATTTCCTCAAATAAGCCAATTTACAACTTGCTATAGATAAGTGGCGTTACAAGTCCAATTTAAGTGCTACAGTTAGTGTGTTAGTGGAGGTAGAGTCTTTAGTCTGAAGATGTGAAGGCTCTCTGTGGTCCTGGTGTCTTCAGAGACCTCCTTCCACCATTTAGGAGCAGGACAGCAAAGAGTGGAGATCTAGTCGTGTGTTTTGCTCTCAGTGAGGAGGAACAAGCAGTTTATCACATGCAGAGCGGAGAGTGCGGGTCGGGATGTCGGGTTGGACCAGGTCCTGGATGTAAGCTCGACCCCATCCATTCACAGCATGGTTCGTGAGCACCAGTGTTTAGAACTGGATGAGCCACCGGGTCCAGTGAAGAGAGCGGAGGAGTGGAGGAGTGAGGGAGAACTTAGGAAGGTTAAAGACCAGTGGAGCTGCTGCATTCTGGATGAGCTGCAGAGGTGGAATGGTGGTAGCAGGAGACCTGCAGGAGAGAGTTGCAGTAGTCCAGGAGGGAGACGACAAGAGCCTGAATCAGTACCTGCGCTGCTTTCTGAGTGAGAAGAGGACGTGTTCTCCTGATGTTGTAGATCAGGAAGCACCTGCAGCTCCTCCAGGGTTTAATTACGCCGCGTTGAGCTGATGTGCAATTACAATTACAAACTACTCGTGTAGCTTGAGCTCTATGGCATCCAGTCCAAGGAAGTCCCCCCTGGTACCACTGAGGGGACAGCTAAGGGGACCACTGTCGTGGAATATTTCAATAAGACTAGTTTGGAAGAAGAGAATGATTTGTTCTTAGGTTTATCTAATAAAAGAAAAGTCTTGATGAATGATCAAAGTTGTTATAATATATTTTACCATTACACCTCTGAAGGGACATCTAAAGGTAACGTGGGGACATCTGAGGGGACATCTATGGGGACCACTCAGAATACTTCAGCTCTAGAGGACGAGTTCATGTGCAAGAGTCCGGCCATATCGGACATCGTCATCCTGCTGGACGGTTCCTCGAGCATCAGTCGCATCAACTTCGAGCTCGCTAGGACCTTCCTGGAGAACCTGGTCAGGGCCTTCTCGGTGGGGTACGACAAGACCAGGATCGGTGAGGATCGTGGCTTTCAGGATGCTTCATCTAGAAAGAGTGATGCTTTGTCTGTTTAAAGCCTCTTGTGTAGCGTCAGGACTGGATTCTGTCACTTGTGCTCAAACGACTATTCATTGTGTGTGTGTGTGTGTGTGTGTGTGTGTGTGTGTGTGTGCAGGCCTGGTTCAGTACTCCGGAGACTTCTGGATCGAGTGGCACCTCAACGCTCACACCACCAAAGAGGGTGTGATCGAGGCGATAAAGAACCTGCTGCACAAAGGAGGGGGCACGAAGACAGGTAGAGCGGCTTGACAAGTGATACAGCTGATGTGTTCCTTTTATGCTGTTTCAACTGGGGGTGTGACGATTCATTCTAACAACGATTCGATTCGAATCGCGATTCATGGTTGCCGATTTGATTCATGGACAATCTGGGTTAATTTAGAACGATTCAATTCGATTCGATTCAGTGACTTTACTGGACAGTGCAGGCAAAGTTTCTGAGATCCCTGTTGTTTCTTGTAAGGAAATCAGGTTTAAATTAATTATGGATATTATAAACAAGCAAAGAACAATTAATGGCAAATGTATTAACCTTTTATTTGAATCAAGTGCCATTTTCAATGTAAACATTACACAATAATTACACAATGTTTGGATCAATTCACAGAACCCTGGATGTTCAACCACATTGTAGGGTCACACGTCTTTACAGATAAACTTGTTACTGTGATGTGAGTTTGGTGCTGGAGGCCTGAGGCGTCTGCAGAGCTGAGTTACCTGCTGCTGCTGCAGCGGTGACGCTGCTGGAGGTCCTGACTGTCGCCGTTGTTTAATCCCACGGCGCCTTAGTAGACGGCCGCAAAGATCCGTCGTGTTTCCGTGGTTTTTATTTGTCTTCTACATATTCTACAAACAGCGAGCGACTTATTTAGAACACCTCCGTGTTTGCAGAAGCCAAAACGTTTCCACCGGATCAATAAGTTGGTTTGTAAATGTCTCGCTCGCTGTCGTCTCCTCCACGCTGTGTTTTGTTGTTGTTCCGAGTTTCTCGCGGCTGCCGCTGCGTACTGATGACGTCACAGACCGGCAGACTGAATCCAGTAACGTTTAACGTGTCTAAAGTGCTAACAAACAAACAAACAAACACACATCCACACCGTTGTTGTACTTTAATCCAATGTGCAGTTTCCAAGTATCGATACAATCGATTATGTCGTCCGGAATGCCGATTTGCGGAGCACAGATCGATTCAATTTAATGATATTAGGTTATACCAAAAAAAGATTCAATGAAATATTCAAAAGAATATTCAAAGAATCCAAAAATTTAACATTTAGAGAGATCATGAATAAAACAACGGCAGGGACTTTTCAAACAAAGGATCTGGATCTGAAATTTCTTTCAGGAAAATATTATAAAACATTTTCTTTCGAGGGATTTTCTGTGATAATAAGTTGCCAATGAAAAATATTTTAAAATATATTCAAAAAAGAATAATTATAAGGATAATAAAAAGGGAAAGCAGGAACTTTTTCGCCATACATCTTAATCTTAACATTCTTAGGAAAACAGAAAGAAGTTGTCTTTTGAGGGAACCGCTGTGATAAAAGGTTGTATTCAAAGTATACAAAACATATTATTAAAAACGTGTGTATATATATAAATATATATAAATATATATATATATATATATATATATATATATATATATATGTATATATTTAAAGAATTAAACCGCTGTGATAACAGGTTGTCGGAAAAAGATATATTCAATAAATAATGAAAGGATCCAAAAATATAATAATTAGAAAGATGATGAAATAGGGGGCATTCGTGATTTTGGGAGAGATAAACTTTTCACTTTCACTTTAAAGACGCTATATCTCTTTTTTATCCCCGCGGAAAGCAACAGCACATTTAAAACTGTAAAAAAGGAATCACAAAGCGTTTAAATGAGCTTCTCTTCTGGAAAGTCTCTTGTTTCTCGGCCTTTGTTTTTTTCCATATCTTCAAATGAGTTCTATGTGGTCTCCAGGTCAGGCTCTCATCTTTATCCTGGACACCAGCTTTAAAGCCAAGTTCGGCTCCAGGCCCGGCGTTCCCAAGATCCTGATTCTCATCACGGACGGGGATTCCCAGGATGACGTCACCTCTCCCGCGCGCAGCCTCAGGGAGGCCGGGATCGAACTGTTCGCCATCGGTACGCCCCGAGCCTCCCCAATAAAATGAAGAAAGTTCACAGGAAGCCATGAATGTTTGTTAGATTGGGACTTTGTTGATGCTGAAATTGTCCAAAGACCAGGCACGGAAATATTAAAATATCTGTTAGGAGATTATAGTATAGTTTGAGTCATTTTTCCCCCTGATTGACTTCTTGCATCATCAAAAACATCCTCCCCAGGTGTGAGAGACGCCCCTTTCAGCGAGCTGAAGGCCATCGCGTCTCCCCCCGAGGAAACTCACGTGTACAACCTGGCCGACTTCAGCGGGTTGAGCAACATCGTGGAAAGTCTCAGCAAGACGGTGTGTGAGCGGGTGGAGCAGCTGGACACGCAGATCAAAGGTCTGACCTCACTCACCCACTCACTCACTCATTGACTCACTCACTTACTCATTCACTCACCCACTCACTCACTCATTCACTCACCCACTCACTCACTCACTCATTCACTCACCCACTCACTCACTTACTCATTCACTCACCCACTCACTCATTCACTCACCCACTCACTCACTTACTCATTCACTCACTCACTCACCCACTCATTCACTCACCCACTCATTCACCCACCCACTCACTCACTTACTCATTCACTCACCCACTCACTCACTTACTCATTCACTCACTCACTCACCCACTCATTCACTCACCCACTCATTCACCCACCCACCCACTCATTGACTCACTCACTCACTCACTCATTCACTCACTCATTCACTCACTCACTCACTCACTCACTCACTCACTCACTCACTCATTCATTCATTTGTTATGGAAATAAATATGAAGATATGAATCAATGTGGTTCCAGCTTGTGATCCATTATTCGTGTTGAGGGGCGGGGATTTAAGGGCGGAGCCTCCTCATCCATCAATAAAAAGATGAAGTAAAATAAATTAAAGTTGCAAGCAGCGACAGGCGCTACTCTGCATGCCGGGGCACCGGCCGGACGGCTAGAAACGCAGCCAAGAACTCCTGCGACTGTCGAAAAAGAGTCGCTGTTAACCGCGTGGAGCGACGCCAGGAATGCCGCTTTGCAAGCTTCATCTTTATTAAGGTCTTGGGTCTTTTAACATTTGAGAGGGATTTGATTAACTTGCGAGGAGCAGGGTATTAAATAAAAAACGTGTAACTTCCTGTTGCCACTTTTTTTTCAGGTTACCTGGGTTACATATTCCTACTAAGGTCAAACGTAGCACTGGAGCTGCTTAAATTAATATTTTCATCATTAAAATTATATCCGATAACTACACCTTTGACTTGTAACTAAACGTGGCACACGCTTAGGTACAAGTTGACCATGTTTAGTACCTTTGTGTTTACTGGATACTAGAAAATGTGACTTTGTGTTGCCAGTAGGTGGCGCCGTGACTTTGATTCCACTTTACATCTCTTCAGGCCCAGAGTCTCATCACACATGTGTAAATCAGAAAGAATCTGATGATGTGGAGTAGAGTTACAACGGTTTAGTTGTTCTTGGTAAAGGATCAACTTTGCCGATGCTCCCTCTCGCCACCGATTATCGGACTCTGATAACATTCACATATCAGAGGGATCAGATCAACCTGTGAGGAGCAGGGTGTAAAGTAAGAAACATTCAACTTCTTGTTGCCACCAGGTGGCGCTATGACTACGGTTAAAAATGATCATGTGGATGTCTACAGGGTGAGATGTTCATGCTGTATATCTTCTCAAAACAATGAGATATCAACTGTAGATTACGGTAGATTACGGTAGTGGCGTGTAAGAACTGATAAAAAAAAACAGTGAATTGTGTAATTACTTATTCAAATACATTTATAAAGAATTAATTTACACAGACCAGAAAATATCAGGAAATTCTTATTTAGCATTAAAGACTTAAGGCCCTTTAATGTCATACATGAGCCAACTTCCTCTAAAATCTCATTCACCAGCCAGCTTCAGATTCAATCACAATTTCAGATGGCATTGTGAAGATGGCGTCTCCGTGTTATACACGCACGAAGGTCATCCCCAGTGGACGGTGGCCCGCAGTGGCGCCTAATCCTAATCACTCTTTCAGCATACGACTATGTTATAATATATTTTACCATTACACCTCTGAAGGGACATCTAAAGGTACCACTGGAACAATGTGGTTTTCGTCCTGGTCGTGGAACAACGGACCAGCTCTTCACTCTTTCCAGGATCATAGAGGGGGCTTGGGAGTATGCTCATCCAGTCTACATGTGTTTTGTGGACTTGGAGAAGGCGTATGACCGGGTCCCCCGAGAGAAACTGTGGGAGGTGCTGCGGGAGTACGGGGTGAGGGGGTCCTTGCTTGGGGCCATCCAATCCTTGTACGCCCAAAGCGAGAGCTGTGTTCGGGTGCTCGGCAGTAAGTCAAAGGCGTTTCCGGTGGGGGTTGGCCAGGGCTGCGCCTTGTCACCAATCTAGTTTGTGGTTTTCATGGACAGGATATCGAGGCGTAGTCGGGTCTACAGTTCGGGGGGCTGCGGATCTCATCGCTGCTTTTTCTGCAGATGTTGTGGTCCTGATGGCATCTTCCGTCTGTGACCTCCAACTCTCACTGGAGCGTCTCGCAGTCGAGTGTGAAGCGGTCGGGATGAGGATTAGCACCTCTTAATCTGAGGCCATGGTTCTCAGCAGGAAACCGATGGATGGCCTACTCCAGGTAGGGAATGTGTCCTTACCCCAAGTGAAGGAGTTCAAGTACCTCGGGGTCTTGTTCACGAGTGAGGGGAAGATGGAGTGTGAGTTTGGGTGGAGAATCGGAGCAGCGGGGCCGGTATTGCACTTGCTTTACCGCACCATTGTGACGAAAAGAGAGCTGAGCCGGAAGGCAAAGCTCTCGATCTACCGGTCAACCGTCGTTCCCACCCTCACCTATGGTCATGAAGGATGGGTCATGACCGAAAGAACTAGGTCACAGGTACAAGCGGCCGAAATGGGTTTCCTCAGGAGAGTGGCTGGCGTCTCCCTTAGGGATCGGGTGAGAAGCTCAGCCATTCGTGAGGAGCTCGGAGTAGAGCCGCTGCTCCTCTGCGTCGAAAGGAGCCAGTTGAGGTGTGGTTTGGGCATCTGGTGAGGATGCCCCCTGGGCGCCTCCCTAGGGAGGTGTTCCAGGCACGGCCAGCTGGGAAGAGGCCCCGGGGAAGACCCAGGACCAGGTGGAGAGATCATATTTCTGCACTGGCCTGGGAACGCCTTGGGATCCCCCAGTCAGAGCTGGTACATGTGGCCCGGGAAAGGGAAGTTTGGGGTCCCCTGCTGGAGCTGTTGCTCCCGCAACCCGACCCCGGATAAGCGGTTGAAAATGGATGGATGGAAGGAAAAAGCTAACTGGCAGCAGAACACAAGCTTTATGAGTCTAAATGTACATGTGGATTTCCTCCTTTGAACGTATGCAAACATTTAGTGTGGATCCTACCTCTGGACCAATCAGAGCTCTCTATCTTCATGGACACGCCCTCTCTTTATTTAGTGTCTGATGTCTTTAATCTCTCTCTCATCTTCTATCTTCTCTCCAGACTACATCAGGCTGGTGAATGGGTCTACTCACTGCTCAGGCAGACTGGAGGTGAGGTCTAACCAGTCAAACCAGTCAAACCAGTGGTCCTCAGTGTGTGAAGAGGACTTTGACCAGCAGGATGCAGAGGTGGTCTGTAGCGAGCTTGGCTGTGGGGCTCTTTCAGTCCTCCAGGGGGCGCTCTATGGAGAAGTGGAGGCTCCAATGTGGACCAAAGAGTTCCAGTGTGGAGGCCATGAGTCTTCCCTCCTGTACTGTAGAAGCTCAGGCTCAGAGAGAAACACCTGCTCACCTGGTAAAGCTGTAGGACTCACCTGCTCAGGTAGATGAGGAGCTGCAGCTTTGATCTGATTCATTTCTGTTCTACTGAAACTCGCTTTGTTCTTCTACTGACGACTCTCTTGTTTCTGTTCAGAACCTGTGAGGTTGGTGGGAGGAGCCAGTCGCTGTGAAGGAACACTGGAGGTGAAATATCAAGGAGAATGGAGACCAGTAGATTACTACAGGTGGAACCTGAAGGTAGCAGATGTTGCCTGTAGAGATCTGGACTGTGGCTCCGCTGTTTCTATCAGAGACAGAGAGTCCTCAGAGAGCTTTGTGTGGCGGATTCCCTATGACTGTGTTCAGTCTGGATCTGCGCTGAGGGACTGTTTACTGCCAAGATCCTCTTCCTCCATCCTGGATCTCACCTGCTCAGGTAAGTCCATCAGTAACATCATCCATGTGTCATGTACTTCCTGTGTGTCGGTCCAGTCCCTCCCTCACTACACACTGTGAATCTGTCTGTCACGTCTCTGAGGAGGCTGTGTTACAGGTATAATGATCCTCCCACATACTTAATATGACTTACATCACAAGTAACTTACATATTCTCTATAACAAACATTCAAACCATCAGTGTTATTTGTACCTGTGAGCCATAACTATGAGCACATTTCAATTGTTAAAGATATAAACCCTTCTATTCAATTACTATTTTATTTGATAATCCAATGAAGAATTCACAAATTCAGATTTTGGTGGATTTGAAGCATGGGAACTTTCTTAAAATTATGCTGTGGGGTTAATATTCATCAGATTGGAAATTAAAAAATTGCTCCGATACTCTTTTTTAATGTTTTATTTTCCATTAAGTGCAGTAGACGTTACACAGAGTGGAGGTAAAAATGCAATGTAAGCCAGATTCACAAGTAACATACATTACATCAAGTAAATTACAAAGCAACAAATGCTTAATTTGATCTGACGGTAGATTTTACCAGTTTATGATATATACATAATCAGAAATAAAAGCTTCCCAACGAAGTGCAGATTAGACTTTTTTTTCTAAAACACAAAATAATTAACAAACAAAAAACAAATGTCTGTCATTTATCTCTCCCACTTGTTTGCCTGGGACGTTGTTCGTCCAGGCGTTATTACACATCACTGACGAGAGTTTAGTGTGACTTCCTCTCAGTCAGAAGTCCAGTAAAGGTGAGTTGTTGAGCTGTGGCTGAACTTTTATTTCCTTCCATTCCGTTAACCGGCCTCCACCGTAGACGTATTTAAAGACAGACGTCTCACGGTGGCGTACAGAACGTCCGCACATGGCGGCCATCTTGGTTCAGGCAGCTCGCTCACCCATAACTTTGTGTTGTTAGTGGTACATGTACTTTGAATAATAATAACTTGCTCAATTTCCAACCGATTTTTAAACAGTTTAGTTTGTTATAAACGTCAGAGATGTAGTTATGACACTGCATACATACTATGAATAATTATGTCATGTTGTAAAAAATAGAATAGTGTTCTAAAATAGGTTCAATATTTATATATTTATATATATATATATATATATACAGTATATATCATGTTACGGCCAGCTCGTTTCGACCGTACATAAAGAAAAAAAGTACAATGAAATTACTTGCAAGAGTTTAATTATTCGTTCAGAATAACGGTAACTTAACAAAACAAAGTCTAGGTTCAAAACAAAGGGGAAAATCATAATCCAGATGGGGAGAGAAAAGATTGGTATGAGTTGGGTAACTAAACAAAGGTAGGCCAAAGTGACTTCTCCAGAGGCAG